AATCCATGCGTTTATTTTTAGTCGAATTGATTACTGCAACAGTGTCTTCACAGGTCTGCCTTACCAGGAGAGAACTCACGATTGCTCAGGGAAAACATGCAAACTACATGCAGACCCACTGGGACACTTAAGGTCCTTTGCTTCAAATTCCTTTCTATCCAAAGCGTTGGTTCATATAAGAAAAACTAATAAATAATAATAATTAATGATACATAAAGAATGATCAGAAAGCACTTAGTACCAGGATCCATGTTTGTCCTCTTCTCAACAAGCCTTGAATTTAACCGAGATCTCTTTTATAGACTTCAGATTATTGCTTCTGGAGAAACGATACTCTGAGCAAAAGGAAGGAGAACAGAGCGCAATTCATCGGTACAGCAGGCAGAACTAAATCAGTTTTCTGAAGGAATCTAACGCAGCAGGTTGAGCTTTTGCTTTAAGCAGGACTGTGATGCTGATTGGATTATGAGGAGGTTTGGTTGAATGGGAAATAAATGCTTCGCTGACAGATGAGCCTCTGATTGTTTAAGGGTGAACTATCCAGTTTATTCAGTTGAATTTCTGTCTAGACCTCATTAGTCGGACCTCTTATTGCTTACAGTTTTACTTTAAACTGAACCCTGAAACCAGGTTTTCAGCAGTACGAGTTGGATCAGTCTCAGGTAAGAACAAAAAAAAGGCGTATTGATGCCCTTTCTTGTTCTGCTAACGAAGCATTTATTATAAAATATTAAATTTTTTATCATCTTGCTTTAAGTTAAATTGATAAAAGCAAAATCAGCTTTTTCTTTTATTCCTCTCTGAAACTTCATATCAAGGGAAGGAGATTGCAATCAGTCATAAGACATGACATCTAAAAACTTTTGCTGAAACTACAGTTTTACCGGTGTTTAGAATCAGAGGGAAAAAAAGATTGAGAAAATGTGGGGAAACTATTAAATTAATAGAACAGAAAGCCATTTGTGTTTAATATATAACAAAAATGTGTCTCTAGTTTAAATCACTAAAGATATCCTCTACAATAATCACACACTTCAAAAAAGCAGAAATGTAATATATATTATTTAAAATAATTTAGACCTGATATAAATGCTCTCCTGCTCCACCCATCATGTGCAGGTCTCTTCTAAATGTTTTCCTCCATGTTTTGGTTCTTGCTAAAATCGGATAAATCTTTTTTGTCAGGAAAATGTTCAGTGAATTACTGGAATTAAAATGTAATTATTTTGATTCATCAAAAAAAAAAAAAAATTAAGAGGGCTCTATTTCCTATACAAACCGGAGTCCTCGAAGGCTGGTATCCTGCAACTTTTAAATGTGTCACTTGTTTAACACACCTGAATCAAGTGGCTTAATTTCCTCCTCAGCATGCAGTCGAGTTTTGGAAAGTCCTGCTAATGGCCTGATTATTTGATTCAGACTGGACTGGTAACTTCTAGGGCTACGGCCAGTGAAACAACTACAGTAGCAACACTGCACTGTTGTGAAATGAACCAGTCTCCCTTGGTGTTTTAAATCTGATAGCAGACCACTTGGGAAGTTTGACATTATGGAGTTCCTCATAAATGGAAGGCTGCACACATCCCTCTAGATTAAATCTTACACCAGAGAACTAAAAATATTTCTGATCAGGTAAAAATCATGTTATTTTGTTTCATAACAACAAATAATTAGGGCTACCTTTGAGGTTTAAGGGGTGCTGCTCCAGACTGCTGTAAAGTGGAGCTTTAAGTCACGTGATCCATTGAGCAACGGATCCGACCCTCTGATATTACACAGGAAAGTTTTAGAGAAGGTCAGTGTATTCTGAGAATCAACACCAGAGTGCTATAAATTAACCTGAACAATCATTTAATATATTTTAAATCGGAAAAGTATCTGGGTTCAAAGTGGACAGTGTTGCTTTAAACGAGCATCATTAGATTAAGTTTGTAGTCCAACATTTCCTTTACTTGCCTTTAGCTTCTGTCTAAATTGTTATTTCTGTTTTTCTGTTCTGTGCATGAACATGAACTTAAATTGTCATGTAACTGATAAGTGCTATAAAAATTAACTTAAATATCTTGGAGAATAAGCCAGTGCCTTCATGTTGGTGCTCTCTGAATCACGCTCTGCAGGTAACAAGACATCAGAGTTTAATCCTACAATCATGGAAGAACTATGTAAGTAGACCTGAATATGTCATTTAATAATCTATTTATCATTTATCTTGATTGTTTCTGCCATTTGTGCTGTGTGTTTTCATTTACAATTTGTGTTTCATAAAACAGGTAAAGCCATCATTACAGCAGCTGCAGTAGGTAGGTATGAGTCTATGCATGGCTTTCAGAAAAATCCTGAAAAGTCAATTTGTGTTTCCTTTGCTATGGTCTTGCAGGAGGTACCGTGGTTCTGACTCCTGCTGTTCTGGCGGGAATGGGCTTCGGTGCAACTGGAATAGTAGCAGGCTCCATAGCTGCTAAGTTGATGTCAATTTTTGGAGCTACCTGGTTGATATCTCTCTTGCAATCTATAGGTAAATTTGGTGCTGATCTTTCATAAATATATTTTCGATGGATGTTGTCTTTAAAGATTGAAAACTTGCTAATGGGATAATTGAGAATGAGCCAATAAAACAAACTGCGTAT